TTATGTCCTTGCATGGAGTAAAATATTCATATTATAATAGAAGTTTTAACCTTGTAACTCTGTTTCAAATAGAAAAGAGGATTTAAAACTTGAACAGATATTTTTTCTATATTTAGTGTTTGTTACCTTACCATAAATTTTGTATTTAATAAGAACAGTACTTATTGTTACTAATGTTAATGATGTGATGCTTATAGTAAATTTGTATTTTCTTTGTATATTTGTGTTATTATACGCTAATATTTTTATTTCTTTCCATTTTTGCTTTTTTATTATTTATTTTAATTATATAATTTTTCATATTTCCTATGTTTGCACAATGGATTACAAGAAAACTGAATGCAATGTCAGTTTCAAATCTTGTATATGATAACAGAATTGTACTTTCATGCTTTTGTCATAAAAACTAAGAAATTGCTGCTTTTTTTTTGTGGTCAGTGTATATTTACTTTACCTAGTTAATGGGTTAAATTAATATTCAATAAAAATATGTAAAACTTTATATATATAGTTGCATTTTGTTTTTTGTTTTTTTTGGGGTTTTTTGTTTTGCTTTTTTTAATCATTTCAATCCAACCAAGGCTTTAGTTGGTTGGTTGATTTTGTTTAGCTGCATATCAATCTCTATGGGTTGTTTATTGCTAAAATCTTTATATTTTTAACTATTTAACACAATCTTATGGATTCAACAAAATATATTTTTAATGCAATTGTATGCCTTCAACTACAAATAAAATGTATTGTTCATGATTTTTTTATATATAAAAAATATATTACTGGTATTGTACTATAAAAATCTATTTTTATACATTTATAGTGTTTTGTTTTTGTGTGGGGGTTCACTATTTGCTCTTAGCTGGGATCCTAACAGGTGCTACTAACCTGGGTCAGGGTGGAGCTGGGAACAACAGCAATGAAGTGGTGATTCTACACTCCTCAAAACCTCCAATCTCTTGATCAGAGGCCTTGCTGCTGGACCCAAGCAAGGCAATAATGCCACTAAGACACAAGTGGTTACTGGGAGTGAAAGAGAATGAGAAGACTTTAATGAGGAGAAAGGACAATAAAAGGAAATCACCATCATCTGTCTTCTTGAAACTTGTTCTTTTATTGTTCTTTTCTTCACTTCTCACTAAAGTTTTCTCATTCTCTTTCAATCTCTGTAACTCTCTGCATCCTAATAGTATTATCACCTTGCTTGGGGTGAAATGATAAAAAAAAGAAAGTTATACCAAACTTATGAAGGGATTTAACTGTATCTTCACAAGTGCAAATTTGAAAGAAGGTTGGTTTAAATTTTTGAGGAGGGAAGCAAGAATAGTTCCACAGTTGAGTAAAGAATCTGTTAGGATAGAACTTATGGTTACATCTAACTATTTCAACAGTAAAACATTGAGACCTAATTGCCAATCTAGTAGTATGCCTAAATTCATGTGTATTAAGCAAGAAAACTCATCAGAACAATTGCCATGAAAATATTTATAGAAAAGACAGAGGGAAGCTACATCACAATTGTGAGAAAGTGACTGAAGTTGAGATGGAATGTCAGGACCGATTACATTACAGACTTTTCATTGGATTTTGTTGAAAATTTCAAGATATATATCAGGAACACCAGACCAGATATGGCAGCAATATTCAATGCATGGCTGAGTGGGAGATTTATAAAAGTGCAAGATGGATTCTGACAAGAATGATTATCTGGCAAAACCAACTTTTGTAGCAGTACACCGAGAAATTGATTCAATATAATGACTTCATGTCAGTGTAAAATGTGAGCCCAAGAAGGTGCAAAGAGTTGCTCTCCTGGAGGTGAGCATCAGCCATGCTTAAAGAAGGTAGAAAAGAGAAAATTTAAAACTTGACTATATTTATTATTATTTATTTAAAAAATGTTACTCTCAAAATCTGGCTTGGTTAGATTAAAGAAAGGCTGACTCATTTTATCCAATCAGATTGATTTAAAAATATCTGTGATTATTGCCCTTTTAACAAAAATACAGAAAAAAAGTGACACCTTTGGAAATCAGTTCAGAGGGTTTTTTTTTTTTTTTTATGAATTATGTGTTTGACATCTATTTCTGATAACAAAGATATTTTGAGTTCTTTGTGATATTTTACTTTACTTTTTATAAAAAATGTTGATATTTTTCATTTTTTTAATAGATTATAAAATTTCTAACTGGAAAAATAAATCCTGTTAAATCATTTTCTTAGTATATAGTGTTATAGACAAGCGTATGCTTGCAAGAAAGAAATACGACAACAGCAGAAATAGATTTACGTGATTTATTTCAATAGGAACATGTGGTTTTGGGACAGCTACCTTGTGGTATAGTTCATAGGCCGTCTGAAGATCTGGGTTGATGTCTCATAGTAGTTCTCACTGGTTGGCGTGGCGCTACTGCTGCTGGCCGCTCAGCCTGACTGTGACAGGTCTCTTCCCTGGCCTCCTGTTGACTGCCTGGTGTACTTCCGTGTGACCCCTTTTATGGTGTTTTTATGGCTTAACAGGCTCGAAAAACAACGCGAGTATAATTAGGAGTGAAGCATGTTAGTTTATTTGCCTGTAAATCAGCCGAGATATGTCTTATTTTATTTTATAACAATAGGAAGAAGATAAACTAAACTGTTTATCCCACATTTTTAAGTAAATTAAAAATTTATTTATTTCAAGTTATAAATATATATCAACTGAAGATAGAAGGGTCTTTAATGTAATTGATCCAGACCTAGCTTCTCGACTTTAGTCACTTTCTCACCAATGTGATGTGGCTTCACTCTGTCTTTTCTACAAATATTTTTGTGTAAACCGTTTCTGATGAGTTTTTCTCTCTAGTACCTCAAATACATGAATTTAAGTGTGTTACTAGATTGGTAATTAGGTCTCACCATTATACTACTGCACTAGCAAGATGCAACCACCATTTCTAATCTAACAGTTTTTTTTTTTTTTTGCACTTCTCACCTCTAGAAGTCCCTTCTGATTTTTTGGTTCCCTGCCATCTTCAAAAATTTAAATGTAACATCAATCACCATCTTCTGTCTTCCTGAACCCTGTTCTTTTATTGAGCTTTCCTCACTGAAATGATTAAAAAAATGAATGTAGTTTGATATGATTATTATTACATATTTTAGTATCATATTATTTAAATGAATAAGCAGAATATCAGCAAAGCTGGGAAGTGTATGTATAAATTGTATATAATTGCATACACATCATTCACATCATGTCACAAAAGTATTGTGGCAGACTTCCACCACATTTATTTGATTTTGTTTAGGAAGCCAAACTGATGTGAAGAAAGGATAAAACAAACAAGACCGAGATATATATATATATATATATATATATATATATATATATATATTAAACAAAACATTTACAAAGCACATAGACAGTTAACATTGTGTTTGTGTGTGAACGTTCGTATTTTGGAGAAGTTCATAAGAGTTCGTACGTATGTGTATATTGGAATGTTCTTTAATGTCTGATCGCAAGGTCAAGACAGTAATTCTCCGGGACTACATGTTGCAGCAAGAATAGAGAAAAAAGAGAGAGAAGCAAACTCATGTTTGTTTTTATAGGTGATCATTGGATCAGGAGTGCTGTGCGGGAAAAATCATTCTCCACATGCAGAGAATCTGATTGGTCGATACTGACCAATCAGTGCATGAGTTTTGGGGAGACTTCTGGGAGCCGATTCTACCAAAAGTATACAAAATCTATTATGCAAAAATATAGCGATTTCAAAATTGTCGCATAAGATAGCAGTGTTCATTTCTATCCAATGAATGATTGTTATTGAAATTTGAATTTCTGTAGGTAGGTTTGTATGTATGTGTGTGATGATGATCATCATCACAGTATACTTTACAAACGTTCGCAATTTAATCATGATAGTAAAAGGGATAAATCTTTTTATATTTTCTCAGCAGTTTGAGTGTGAGACTGTGACCTTATGTAATCTCAGATGGCGTCTGATAGTAGCTGGTCAGCCAATGTGCAGTACTTATCATCATCATCATCACCTGTCCTATGACCCACTAAGATTGTACCATTACTGAGTTTGTGTGTCAATGTCTGAGTTTCTGTAAATGATGTTCCAGTCATCTCAGTGACATTATCATCCAGTTCATACTGCTGTGTACCTCTTTTTCTTTCGCCTAAGGTGGGATCTTGTAGGATGTCAGTAGAAAGATTGTTGACTCTTATAACATGTCCATACCATTTAAAGTGGAAATAGTGTTGGCTTTTATGACATATCTGTAACATTTCAACTTTTTCTTCTTTATGGTGAATCTGAAACCTTTCAATGGGCTTGTTCCATGACTGATGATGTCTCACACTATGGCATTTGTGATGCAGTCTACATAGGAGATGCCTAAGATGATTCTGTAGCATCTCATTTCTAATGATTCTATGCAGTCATTCTGCTATTCAAGACTTGCATAAAGATTGTGAAGGCCAATGCAAGCAACAATATTTAAGACTTTTGTAAAGAAGACTGGTTAATTTATTTTGCACATTAGGGCAGTTATTAAGTTCAATGATTTTTTTTTCTCAGAGATTTTTAATTGTAAGATCTATTATTTTTCAGCAATTTATAACTAGAAAATAAAATTATTAATAATGCAAGAAAACAGTTTTTCTTTAATAGTCCATCTGTTCTTCAAAACCCACAAATTGACTAGAATTCTTGAGTTCAATTGAGTGCAAAATAAATTTAATGCTCACTCATGAAATTTAAATGTAAAATTTTGACTTCAGACCAGACTATGTCAAACTATAATTACTGAAAGTAAAAAAAACTCCTTCCTTGTTTCTTTCATCCCAAAACTCATGGCAGTTTCTGTTAGTGCTTCTAAAATCCTTCGTTTCAAAATGGTTAAAGTTTTTCATGACTTTAGAAGACTTTCATAGCATAAAGCTATTATTCTCATCTGAATTTGCACTTGAAAATTAATATAACTTAAAGAAGGCATAAGGCTGTATCATATTGAAACACCAATTCCTGTACGATCACCAAATTTAATCTATGTTAAGCCTGATCAGTATGTAGATGGGTGACCTCTTGGGAATACCAGGTGCTGTAATCTTGGATGTTTGTGTGGTGTAATGGATAATAACTTAGAATTCTTAATCAGAAAGCCAAGTTCCAATTCCTGTTGGGTTTGTTATATTCATTTACATGCAAATATCCTTGAGAAAGCTATAAATCCATTTCTTCTCCCCAGCTATGGATTAATTAGTAAGATGTGTATCAGTAAAACATATTATCCCCCACCCTCAAAAAAATTCTTACAGCCTAAAAAATATTTTCTAACTTTAAATAACCTACATAGGATTAATAAGGTGAGGAAATGAATCAATAATTTAAAAGAAATAAAACTACAGGGTGATTGAAAACTAATTTTATGTATGATGGACTCTCCCATCTAACTATGATTTTTACAAGACTGGAGACTCCATTATACATAAAACAGGGAGTTACTTTTCAATCACCCTGTATATTCAAACCATAGTGAAAAAAAAATTTTTGATTCTTCTGGGTTTTTTTGGGGGGGGGGGGTTCCAGTAAGAATATAAAAGCAAAATGCAATATTTCTTGGAGCCTGTTTTCTTTTTTATAATTAGAGACTAAATGCAGCTAAAAAACAGATTTTTAATTAAAAAAATACTAGAAAAAGTGTTATAATGCATTGCCTAATTAATAACTTAAGTTGTTTTTTTTTTATAATTTACAAATGTACATTGTTTGATTATCATATTTCATACCTTATAAGATCCTCCCCACTGTTTATATTTAATAACACAGTAATTTGAACTTAGACTAGTAGGAAACAGTTTCAAATATAGGACCCAACAGATATTTATGAATCATTTTTTCTCTTGGGGGAAATGTTTCTTATATTTCACCAAATGCGGCATTTTTTATCCAGTGTTGTTCCTGTATTAAAGCATTTTATTTTCTGAACATTATTTTACTTACATTTTATCTAAGTTTTAATGTGTAAAAATGTTAACTTTTGAGATTATAACATCTTAAAATTTTGCATCTGAAAGATTTTCTTGACTTTGCTTCAAACTCTAATTTATTATTAATGAAGCCTAAATAAGAAATAACGTAATTTATCTGAAATATAGCCTATTACATCACTTATAAACATATTAATAATCTATTTAATGCTACATAATTGCATCCTAGACTGTATATATTATTCTCTGATGTTCGCAATTTTTCAGAGTCTGATGGCAGACTTTTGTGTTTAATTTATGGCCTTTTACCACACTTACCTAAGCTTAACAATACCTCAAAATGAACATTTTTTGAAAAAAATGCAAATATGATTGTTAATAATATTTCTGTATTATGTTGGTTTTTACTTAATGTATTCATAACATAGAAACTGAGTTAAGACTAGCTAATTCAACAAGCAGATATATTTTTTTTACATTGCAAAAGACATTTCTAAGTGACACTTTCTCTTAAATTTGATGAAAATCTGACAGAAATCAACTCCTGTATCTTATGAAGACACAGACAAAATGACAGGAAGAACTAGCTAAAGAATATTAAAAGATGTCTGTTACATCTTGGCACTACTAAGTACATGTAAATAAACTTACATATAAACAGGAACATATTATACAAAACAAACATTTCATCAGTCTTGTATTTTTCTATACAACTTAATGAGCTTCTTGCACATTCTTGTTTTCTCTTTTGAAACTATAATTTTTTCTTTTATGCATTGCTTCAATGTCCACCTTACTCTGATGAAAATGAAAGTGGTTGCTCCAACAAAACAATGCATTAACATTAGATGTTACCTTTCCTTGGCATACCAATGTATATCCAGATGTGGTTTGCATCTTAGCTACATTGTACTGGTTCTTTGAACAGAGAGGCTAGCATATCTGTTTAAAAAAAAATATTATATAAATGTGCATTAATATAAGTAGAAAATAATATATATATATATATATACAAATACATATACATATATATATATATATATATATAATTGTGTATTTGGGCAGCAATACATCTTTGCAAGTTTCAATAAAATGACTGCCAAGATACTGTGATTAAGCTTTTTATTCAACAGAAGGAAAATTGAATAAAAAGCTTAATTGCACTACTTTGACAGTCATTTTTAATGAAACTTGCATATATATATATATATATATGATAAAAATATAGTTTTAAGCAAGGATATATTTATGGGTAAAAGTGCTTAATATCAAAGTTAGAGCATATGTAAATATAAAAGTGGACACTGAGGTCAACACTAAGTGTCAACAGTGTGTTTCATGCTTGAACACAATCTTCCGGCCATGCCGTCCAAACATTAAACAGACTGTCGCTTAAGATTATGTACAAGCATGAAACAAACGGTCACCACTCTGTTTTGACCTCAGTGTCTACTTATATATATATACCCCAAGCATTATTACAGTAGATACTTGGTATTTGAAATAGATTAAACAGTGTATATTACTACTATGTCTTTTGTCTATCTATTGGCTTGCACATTCCGAAAATCTTAGTAAAGGAAAATACCCCCCCACTTGCTAGAATGAATGCATTGCAGAATCTGATGTAATTAAAAATGGGGCATCTATTTCAGATACTGAGTATCCACTATAATAGAGTTTGAAGTAATGAAAATATTTGATTAAGATAAATTAAATCCATTAATTCCTTAGCAATATATATATATATATATATATATATATATATATATATATATATATATATATATATATATGCACGGGACTTAGTGGAAAGCATTCAATATCAGTGATAGAGCTAACATATTTAGTTGGATTCATGTGAGTTTGTGACCCTAGGTTTCCTGATGATCGCAAATTGTGTGAAACCCAGGGTCACAACCTCGCATCAATCCAACTAAATATATATATATATATATATATATATATATTAATAATAAAATTATTGTTAATCCATATGGAATTTCCAAGAGGATATAGATCCATTGAGAGCTCTATGTCAAAAGACAGAGCAAAGATTATTATATAATGACAAACAAACACTTGAAAAAAACCATAGGTGATATTTTATAGCTTCAAATCTTCAGACCTGTAAGCCCATATCACAAGTTATCCAAATCCTAAACAAAGTATTAAAAAAGACAAAATTTTTGATAGAAACAAAGAAAAGAATGCTGAACTACTATGTAATATCAATCCTTGTATATGATAGTAAATACTGGACAGTTTTCTCACAGGTGATCTCTAGGAAACTTAAGGTAGCAGAAATGTGGTTCTACAGGAGGATGTTGAGAATATCATAGACTGAACAAGTGAGTCACAAGAAAATTTTAAGGAAAATTGAAACAAAAATCACATTTATATATAGAATCAAAATGAGACAGCTGAAACTTTTTAGGGCATGTAATGAAGAAGGAAAACTACATGACTTCCAAGACATGGTAGTAAAAGTAAGTGTGAAAAAGGGACTAATCATCAACTACACGAAAACAGAAACTATGGTCATCATCAAGAGGAAAAGCCCAAGATGTTAGTTGCAAACTGGAGATGTCAACAGAAGTTTAAAATTTCTGGGAAGTGTTTTAACAGAGGGTGGAAAATGTAACATTGAGATCTGCATTGGATTAGTGAAAGAGACATTCCAAAAGTTAAGCAAAGTACTGAGAATCAGAAAAATATGGTTAGAAAAAAAAGACTGCTGGATTGCTATGTGATATCCACCCTCTTATATGAATGCTGGATAGTTTTCTTACGGATGAAAAGAAAACTGAATGCAACAGAAATCTAGTTCTACAGAAGGATACTGAGAATTCTGTGGACAGAGCAAGTAACCAATAAGTCTTAAAGAAATGGCAACAAAAAGAATACATGCTCAAAATCAGGAAAAAGACTGCTGAAATTCTTTACACACACAATGTGGAAGGAACTTAACACCCACAGGGCATATTGTGTGCAAGAAAAATAGAGGAAGATAGTGAACCACATACCTGACTAGATTGTGTGAATGTCTGATGGAATGTGGGTGTGGGGTGGGGGTTAACAAAGAGAGAAAAACTACTATGGTTCACAAGGGATAGGAAGTTTTGGAGAGCCATGATCACCTATATCCTGAAGAGATGAGACACATAAAAGAAGTGAATGAGGAAAGAGGGGACAGAGAATTTGACACTCAGAGGACATACTGAAGGTAAGAGGGACAGAGGAAAGCAGTGTGTAACTTACCTAATTAGCTTGTGTGAATGAATGGGGGATAGTAAAATGATAAATATTGCTTAGAGCTATAAAGGATTGGAAAGGTGGAGAGCCATGATCGCTCACGTCCTGAAGGGACATGGCATGTAGAAGATCCATTAAAATCTCTTTTTATATGTACAGGAGATCCTGAAATTTTCTTGGCCTGCTGCACTTTCCAAAATTTGACCAAGTGATTGAACATCAAAATATTATTTGGAAAGACTTTTTGGTTTGGTTAAGAACTTTTTCTCAACTTCTTTTATATCAAATGTGCATATATTGAGAGAATGAATACATCCAAGGGTTGATCAATAAGTCTGACATATTTATTAATTTGTGTCTTGAATTTTCATAGTATAATGCTCAATCTGTGATTAATATTCACATTGAATTAGGTGCATTGACAAGGAAGGAGATTATATTGAAAAGTAAATATTGTTTTGAGTAAATGCATTTTGTTCTCATTAGGTTGTATATTTATTGATGCATCTCTCTATATATAAATGTATGTAAAGGTATATATCTTTTATATTATATATGTTTTATATATATATATATATATATATATATATAGATATAGAGAGAGAGAGAGAGAGAGAGAGAGAAACTATGAACATTGGAATCAACACTGCATGATGACTGTCAATTACATATCTCAGTGAAATCTTTAAATCATCCCTGGCATGAAACTGACTGTCGCCAAGCAATGATGATTCCTATGTCCACTATATACTTATAAATGCCCTATCTCTGATATTGAGCACTCTTCCTCTATAAAGGTTGCAAGTTTTAAACTATATGTGTAGGGTGGCCCTCAAATTAAATTATCATAATACTTTTCTATA